GAACACTTGTATAGCCCTTATTAAAAACATTCATTCCTCAAGTTGTAAAAATGTGCTAATAACGTTATTCTGAGAGTTATTTCCCTCTGCATTATGAACGTGCATCTAACCCACGGGACCGCGCCGCCCGGCACGTTCATGTTACGTGTCCCGACCAATCAGAGCACACTGTGCTCACAGGGAGGGTGGGGCTGGAGCTATTGGAGCTACAACGAGCCGTTAAAGGCAGAGAGTGAAATTCAGTGAATACACGTAGTTTACAGAGATGCTGTATGAGAAACCAATGTGAGTTGCGTTTATCTTTACCCATGGATGCACAATAAGAACGGACCCATATCGTCTTACTGCCATCCCACGGAGCTGTAATAATGGATATATTGCACTTGTTTGCTATAATTCATTATCATACTACATGGGCTGTATGATTAAATCTTGTACCGTAAATGTTGTATTAAATAAAGTTAATATTACCGACATTATTAACGTCCCTGTAGCTTCGTATTGCACTAAGAAGCTTATTGCACTGTATATAAATAGGCTATATATAAATATATATATATATATACAGTGCAATAATTATTTCATGCTAAATGAAGCTCTGTTGGATATCACTAGATCCTGTTACAGCGTAATATAAGTACATAACGATTGATGTGTACATTAGCATCATTACTAGCTAGCCGCTAGCTGCTAACTGCCGCCTCGTTCATATCAAATCCATGATAACAACAATCCATTACCATGCTGTCATGAACGCGCGGTGCTGTTACGTGTACGCAAATTGACGTGCTTGATGTGAACGAGCATTTTGGTTAAAGTTGTGCATGCTCTATGAGTGCACATACGGGTACTTCTCAGGCATGCTGGGTAATCTGTGACGTTTCACTCTCTCAAAAGTTGGGCCATTTTATCATCATGCGCTAATGAGCAGCTCTCATAGGAATGAATGAGGCCCCGCCTTCCACGCTGTATCCAGGGTTGCGTTCCGATAATCCAAAAATCAGCTCCTAACGTCTAACCCTATCTCCTATTCCTTGACCTCTGAGTGAAACGTCACGGGGTTAAGGGATAGTGGATAGGAGAATTCAAAAGGATTTAAGAGAAGAGACTGCGGTACTTAGAGAATCCGAATGCACTTTCACTATCCGACGTGTTTATGATGCGCCAGCGGACGTCATGAATGTGCGTCTGCTGCTGTGGGGAAACTATGGAAACTACAGTTTTCTATACAGCGGACTACAACATGGATGTTTAATAAGAACGAGGGACTACTGTAAACTCATCTAGAGACTCTGCACCGAGCTCTGATGCTGTTGTTTTATGCTTTATGAACGTGGACAACAGAGAAACATATTCTTCATGACCAAAGTTGGAATTGAAATAAAAAAGGAAAGTGAAACTTATGCTCGTCACCCTCTCCCTCCGGTCCACATTAATACAAATGATCCCAATACGTATGATTGTATGAACTATTAAAAGATCTTAAAATAAATACAAATGTATTTATTATAAACGTTAGTCCTTAACATCTATCACTGTGTATATCACCATTCAAACATCTTTTAAAAGTTAAACAACCCCACACAGCTCAGTGAAATGTTGACTTTATTTGATCATTTCAGTAAAAACTAACGTTCATATTTCTCTTTTTGATTATAATACTGATGAACGTTCAAAACAAAGCACTTTGGCAACTTACCACATACGTTTTAAAATGCGTAATAAGCACCGTAACTTTCATGATATAATTTCTCCCATTATCGTTTGTGTCAGTGGCCGACTGTTGAGTGACGGCAAATGCTGCGGCTGCAATGCATTGTGGGGCAGCATTTTCTCCTCTCCTTTCGGTTAGGGAGGTCCAGTGGTTCCTACGCTAAAGGAGGTTATAAAGGAAGTTTGAAACCTCCTTTCCTTTCATTTGGAGAATTGGAACGGTGTCAGTACCAGATATGTTCGGGCTACCAGATATGTTCGGGTGTATTTCCGTCGCATCCGTCATCCGTCATATCCGTCATATACTCACCTCCCTCTGCTCCCAGCGCTCTGCTGCCACACACCGGCCGTCTGCGGAACTGCAGCCGGAGGAACTCGGGACAGCTTGTTATGTGTGGGGTGCTATGGTGGGGTCCCATGTACTTGTGCACATAAATAATGTTTCTAATTATTTACAATTAAAAAAATATATATATTCTGCGTTACTTTAACCAACACTTTTATAAGGCCACTAGATTAGATAATTACGAAATGTGTAGATAGAATACATATATTTCAGGTTGTTATTTTGTCATTATGTTTAATGTTTTATTTACCATTTTTATATAGTATCTGAACTTTGGAAAGGAGTTGGGAGACACACGACACATCAAATCACATCTACAGATCAAGACGAAGCGAATGGATGTACTCCCATACTCCTAGCGTGAAAATGTTTGTGAAAACGTGTGCAAAGTCTCCGAAAATCCTAAAAATAAGCTCATATTTGAATTCCCCATAAAAAAACACATCATTCAGTAAAAACAAGGCCCCACTGATCATCTACTCTCTGAGACGATTCCATGGATGTCTGGCTTGAGTTTCGGCCACCAGGGAAAGTGGACAAAAGTGCCCGAGATCAGCCTCTTAATTTACCCAGGGCCTAGTGCTTGGCTTTGGGCATGAAAATTCAGGAAACTCCCCTGAGTATTTTATTAAATATCTGAACTTTGGAGAGGAGTTGGGGGACACACGACACATCAAATCACATCTACAGATCAAGACGAAGCTATTGGAAGTACTCCTAGCGTGTACATTTTTTTGTGAAAAACGTGTGCAAAGTCTCCGAAAACGGAGCAGTGGCTGTGATGCTAGCTTTGCGGCTAGCGGTTAGTTGTTATTGTTTGAAGTTGTGGCTATGGAAACAACATGACGGAGAACAAATTAATATCTTCTACATATAATAACGGACAAAGTAAAGAATGAAGTGTAGGCTATGCCTGTTTGAAGTTGTTGCTAAGGAAACAACATGACGGAGAAAAAGTATAATCTTCTACATATAATAACGGACAAAGTAAAGAATGAAGTGTCGGCTATGTTTAAATGTTCGGAATTTGACCGTGATGGCCCTCTTGAGTTGCCGTAAAATATGACGAATATGACGGATGACGGATGCGACGGAAATACACCCGAACATATCTGGTAGCCCGAACATATCTGGTACTGACTGTCACTACCCGATCTGCAGCTCTGCCCGATCTGCTGTGCGCACGTGCGAGATGGTCCGCCATATTGGACAACGCCGGACGGCAACCCAAGTAGGACAAAATTGACATCTAGACCGTCTGAACCATTCGCAAGTTTTTACATGTGACAAAATATGCATTGCGCATTCGCGAGTTTTTACATGTGACAAACGGTGATTTGCAGAGTTTTTACATGTGACAAACGGTGATTTGCATTGCATCTGACAGAATGAAGACTTTTGCATCTGACAGAATGAAGACTTTTGTGTTTTATTACAGAATGAAGACTTTTGCATCTGACAGAATGAAGACTTTTGTGTTTTATTATTTGGGGTTAAGACAGAGCCTATCATACTGAATACATATTAGAGCAAATCTCTGTTGTCAGTCCTTTTCTTCAGACTATTATTGCTAAATTTGAAAGAGTCCTTACCAGCTTTGGAATTGTATATATACACAATTCCATCTCTGTTATCAGTCCTTTTCTTCAGACTATTATTGCTAAATTTGAAAGAGTCCTTACCAGCTTTGGAATTTTGTGTGTATATATATATATATATATATATATATATATATATATATATATATATACACACACACAATTCCATATATATATATATATATATATATATATATATATATAGCACCTTCTGCTACAACACAAAATAACAGGAGAATGAGAATTAATTACCTTTTACTGTAAAGTTCGATGACGCACGGCGCATTTGATCTCGCTCATTTTTAGAGAGGTCTGTGTGAAATTCACCTTCAGACATGTATTCTCTCAAATTGTTGTAAAACACTAAAGTCTTCATTCTGTCAGATGCAATGCAAATCACCGTTTGTCACATGTAAAAACTCTGCAAATCACCGTTTGTCACATGTAAAAGCTCGCGAATGCGCAATGCATATTTTGTCACATGTAAAAACTTGCGAATGGTTCAGACGGTCTAGATGTCAATGTTGTCCTACTTGGGTTGCCGTCCGGCGTTGTCCAATATGGCGGACCATCTCGCACATGCGCACAGCAGATCGGGCAGAGCTGCAGATCGGGTAGTGACACTGACAACGGCACTTATCATGGCTGCCAGTGACGTACTTCCGGGTCATTTCACTTGGTTAGGAAGGTTCCTAAGCTAAATGGACTATTGGAATGGGCCCCAGTTCTTATTATACATCCATGATATTTTCATCTGAGTCCGGCGCACTTCCTGGGGGCTTGTGTGCCTCCTGTCATCATTAATGGACGTCTCTTTAAAATGACCGCTCAGAGGAGAGGAGTTCTCATTTCTCTAACCGCCTGCTGCTCCCCCTCCTCGGCTCCTCCGCTCGCATCTCCTGTGGGCGGGACTAAGTATCCAGGATAGGAGTCGAGGAGGGGAGTTAGAGAAATGAGAAAGGGCCACGGTAGATACTCTGATGTTGACAAAGTATACTGAGTTGCCACGGAAACAGGTCGATGGGAAATACCTAAGTAGAGCCAGCTAGCTTAGCAGGTGCTAGCTTTAACCTGTCAACAGTTAGAAGTGCTTTGTTGCTCGCTAGTTTCCAGATTAACAATTGATTAACTTTAGCTGGTTAGCTTGTTAGTTTGCAAGTTAGCCAGCCGTACCTGTTAGCGCTTAAATACCATCGAGCTAGATTAGTTCTCCTGTTAACGTCAGTGCAGTTTCTAACTATTCCATCCTTACAGTGCTGTGGTACATAAAACAACGCCTGTCTCTGATGTTTACCTTGGGGCTACAATCAGCCTTTAATTCTAATAAACATGAGTGGTGTTACCTGGTTTAGTGCGGTCGGAAACGTTTCTCAGGAACACCAGATCCTCTACTGAAGAACAAAGTCAGTCTCTCTCCAGGGAGGATTTAGCGGAATACAGTTTTACTATACGAAAGTTTCAGGACAGGAATCAATCTTATTATACATCCATGGGAATAATCCGCTACATCTTCCAATTTCCCGGGTGTGACAGTTTTCTTCTTCGTCTTCTTTTTTCTTCTTCTTAGAGATTTATTGGCGGTTGACAACCAACAATGGTGCAATACCACCACCTACTGGATTGGAGTGTGCAGGAGTAGAATGGAAGAAACCCTAATAATAATAATAATACGCCGCGAAATTCTCTCTATTATTTCCTTTGATCTATTATGTATTATAACAGACAACATACATACAAAACACTAACTCTTGTTCACATTGTAGTAAGTGCTTTTCTTGGTGTAGTCCAGCTTGAATTGGCATAACAAAGGTGCCAGTAGCCTACTCTAAATCAGCAACTGTTTCAAGTCAATTTATTTATACAGCCCAAAAACAAGAATGTGGCTCAAAGTCATATAGTATCTTATAATGCTGGTGGGTTTGTCTCTTTACTGTATATTTTAGAAAGGCTCATTGTGATGAGAAATGACTCAGGGTGCATCTGAGATTAGAGGGGGTGCAGTGGTAAAGTGCTATTTTTATAAGTGGGGAGTGGATCTAACACAAGATTTTTTTTTAAATATTGAAGTTAAATGCATCAATCTGGTGCACTTTGAGAGCAAAATTAAGAGATTTATGGATACATCTCTCAATATCCATATGTAACAGAACTGTAAACAGATTTTCTATTTCTTTATGGATATTTTACAAATCACTCCCCTTTTAAACTGTATTCTTGTTTTACTGTCATATAGTATTTCATTTTTAGTGAGTTACTCAGATAAGTACCAGGAGACAGCGTTTGGTACACTGGTACAATTGTGGTGAAGGCATCTGAGTTAGATGTATTTGAACCGAAATGTCTACATGCATAGCAGAGGATGGCATCTTTTTTACAGGAAATTCCAGCCAATCTCTGTTTTGAAACCATGAGCTGCAAAATGAGCGCCTTACCCCACTGTACAGGCGAGTTGGGAACTTGTTTAAATATACCTGGGCAGGCTCTGTTTTGCCGAGGTCCTCTGGCACTTGCGGGCCGCCGAGGGGTAGCAGTTTTGGGGCGACGAAGACTGCTGCTCCGGGGGCGAACCGTGCGAAGCGTGCAAAGCGGCGGCGGCACCTCATGACGCATCTACTGAGTACCGCCGTACCGGCACCGTGCCGGTACTCAGTAAGAAGTAACGGTACCAGATGGGTAAAAATCAGAAGTCCCGGTACTGCGTACCGGTGAGTACCGGCCCAATTCAAGCACTGGGGTAGTTACACAGATCCTATCAAGGTTATGCAAAGTCTAATTTTACTTTATATCTTTGAAGAATATAGAAAAGTCACAGAAGATGGTGGAAAACCCCACCTGGAAACTCATAAGCAAAGAAGAGGTTGCAATGAGGCACTGCAATTTTTTGATATTGGCCCAACTTGAGCATTGGTTTGAGTTTGGATTCAGTAGGAGCTTTATGTTGGGGCGGTTGAACATGAATGCTACCAACTGCAAAGGAAGATGAGTTACCTCTAAGGAAGACAAGTGATTTTTGTCTTCATAAGTGCTTCTCTTTTGGGTTGTCTTGATTGTGAGTTATTCAACAGAAATATGGCTGTAGATAGGCTTATAGTCAATTTCCATTATTTGACTCTGCCTTCTGAATGGATGCATTCGTCACCAGCAGTGGCATTTTTATATGTACACAAGTGGTGGGGCACGAACAACTTAGATGTGTATATATAAGCTTTGGGTGCTTTTTTAAACACGTAAACAAATAGCTGTAGGCTATTTATGGTTCCGATAGAGAGAGGGGGGGATATAAAGAAAACACAGACACTCATCACCGAGGTCACAATATCAATCGATCCAGCAGAGCAATAGCCTATAGGCAAAACACAGAAGATCAACAAAATACATGACATACAATGAACTTACCAAAGCTGGAGTAGATGGTCAACTTCATTCATTTTCTTTCCGTTTTACTGATTTTAATCGCTATAAACTGCTCTCTCTCGTCTCCTCTTCACTACAGGGTGAAAACTACACTTTTCGCGGCACACGTACTTACAGCCAATCAACTCTCAGAAATATGAGATGACGTTTGGTGGGTATGCCAGCACTATAGAGAGGCGAAGTCCCGCCCATCTACTTCCGACCCATGGGACCTTATTTCGGAAAAATGATGTATTGAAGTAAATGGGTAGAGTGTGGTGACCACCTATTAATACACTGGGACATAATTCATACATGGAACTACAGTTGGGGCTATTGTTCCCACACGGACATGTTATGTGTTTTACTATATATGTTGTGTGCCCTTCTCTCTTCACTCTCTTCTTCCCGGTCTGCAACTGGACAACATGACCTTAGCTGCTCTCAAATAAAGTTCCCTTTTGCACCTTCATTGCACCGCCTCTGACTCCCTATCTCTCGTCACTACACTGGTGACCCTGACATGTCTCGAGAAGATTCCGGGACGGAACCGAACACGGCAAAAAGAACGCAAGTTTTTTTCTCGAAATGCCGGGGATTTTTTTTGTAATCGTCCGTGGCTGCCACCGGCACGCGGACTGAGGCTCGGTGCGCGCCCCGCAGAAGGCTGGGGACGTTGCTCGCCGTTCCCACATCGGCTTTCCAACCAACGGGGGGACGATGCACGACCTGCTGGGTCGACTAGCAACCCGATTGCTACCTCGCAGGCTTGTTTCTTCGGGCGTGCAGCTGCAAGTCCCGGCTGCGCTTGCTGACGACGACTAGCGGCTAACCACGTGGGGCTAACGATGGCTAGCAGCTACCCATGGCTGCCAGCTAGCGGCTAACGGATAGCTGTTAACGGTTGTCGACATATTTCTGTTAACATCTGACTGTTAACAATTATTTTTTCCGGTGCCGGGAGAGGAGGTTCGACCAGCCGGTTGACCTCCTGTGGACACTCTCATTTTTTACACCACCTAGACGGCGGTTCTAGACGCCACTCACGTTTTCATCGGCGCCTGGGTGGCGCACTCCTGGACCCCGTCTCGCCTCGACGGTTTCGGATGTCGCTCATGCTCCATCGGCCCATGGGTGGCGCGCTCCGGGACCCTGTCTTGCCTCTCATCTGTCCACGGCTCCTTCCTCCCGGGGAGACTGTTCCTGCCTCCCGGGGATACCTCAAGGCTTGCCAAGGATTTTGTGCCCGCCGCCGCTGTGCTTTTGCCTGCGGCCGGGATGCTCTCCTGCTTCCCGGGGATACCTCAACGCCTGCTGAGGACTTCGTGCCGCCACCGCTGCACGTCTGCCTGCGACCGGGTTGCTCTCCTTCCTCCCGGGGAGACTGCTCCTGCCTCCCGTGGATACCTCAACGCCTGCTGAGGACTTCGTGCTCGCCGCCGCTGTGCGTCTGCCTGCGGCCGGGTTGCGCTCCTTCCTCCCAGGGTGACTACTCCTGCCTCCTTGGGATACCGCTCCGTCCTTCCGGGGACTTCATTCGCCACGACACCTACTGCGGCCCCCTTATGACGGCCCGTTCCAGGCCACCCCCGGTGGGGGTGCCCTCGCCCTCGTTAGGGCCCCTGCCCTCTTCTGCGGCTCCCTTTCGTCGGCCCGTTCCGTGGCCCGGCCCTCACCTGCGACCCCACCCTCCTCGGCCCCTGTGGTGCTTCCTCCCGGACGCAGGGATTTTTTTGCCATGTTTGAATTCTGGGGGGGCTTGTGTGGTGACCACCTATTAATACACTGGGACATAATTCATACATGGAACTACAGTTGGGGCTATTGTTCCCACACGGACATATTATGTGTTTCACTATATGTTGTGTGCCCTCCTCTCTTCACTCTCTTCTTCCCGGTCTGCAACCGGACAACATGACCTTAGCTGCTCTCAAATAAAGTTCCCTTTTGCACATTCATTGCACCGCCTCTGACTCCCTATCTCTCGGCACTAGAGAGAAAGATTATTTTTGGATCCCGTTTGAATTGTGCCACGAATTACACATATGATGTTTGTCAATCTTAAAAGATAATTTTGCAAGTAAAAAAATAAAAATGTTTCCGTAAAACTGTGAAGTAACACTTTTTTTGTGTGAAACCGCTCAATGAACTACATCTCTGGTCTTGCACAACACGTCAACAACACCAAGATGGCCGTCACTACTGTCTTGCCAAAAAAGGGATTGACTCACCCTCACTATCACCACAATGAAACAGAAGAATGTCATGCAAAGCTGCCTGCCTTCCTTCGATTCTACCTGAACTGCCTGATCTTTTTAATGTTCAATGTTAACCATTTGTGCAGATAGCATGAAGTAGAAAAGATCGGCGATGCTAATGTAGCGTTAGCGTTAGCATGTCTGCCACCGGAGGAGTGGGCATCCGGGCTTAAACGGTGTATTATAGAATGCAGCGACGTGCAGTCAGGGGAGGCAGAGACTCACCTGTCATATTCCAATATAACGGAAAAACAACTAAAGAAAAACTAAATAGTAATAATAATGAAAGGTCTCCACTGATCTGTGTTGTAAGTGTGATTTCTGTATGATTCCAATCGCTTTTTATAGTCAAAATCAGCAAATTGGCCGAGCTCCGCTACAACTACATGGGAGCGATGAGGAGTGAGGCAGGGATGAGCAGCTCTGCCTCACGTAAGCCCACAGTAACTGGCTGGAGCGCGGGCACTAATGTAGCACGGGCACTTATTTTGTGAGCGCGCTCAAGCCAGTTACTGTGGGGTGAGGTGAGGCACAGATGAGCTCTGCCTCACCTCAGAATGCATCACCCCACAGAAACTGGCTGGAAAGCGGGCCCTAAGCACATGCCTGTTACCATCTCACTGTATGTCACCAATGTAATGTTTGTAGATCCCTTTATTACATGTGTCCTCGCCATCCATAGTCTCTAAATAACTTATTTCACGTATATATGATATTTAGGCCCGCTGGTCTCATCATACAACGGCAATGAAAAAAGCACCAGGGGAGGCAGCCATAACCTCTGCCGCACTGAAGGGGGCGCACGTGAGCCCACAGGTTCTTGTTGCTACTGTTATTCTACGCAGAGACGGTAGACGCAAACAACAAGCTAGACTTTTGAAACTAGAGGAAGATAAGGAAGACTTTTACAAGAATGTAATGGAGATTGTTGTCCAGAAGGATAGCATGGACTTCATCTTCAAGTCAAGGTAAGACCACAATTGTAATGAACATGGGATCTTACTAAGAAAGAACAATCCAATATTTAGATTTTGGGTATCCTTTTGTTGAACAGTCTGTTTAAAATGAATCGAAGCATCAGACTAAAAAAGCTTTTGAAAATAACCGAACATTTCGATTAAGGTCAAAATATAATATTTGTAAATCTGACTCTGAAAGAGTCAGCACTTTGAATTGCCTTGTGTTGAAAAGTGCTATATAAATAAACTTGCCTTGCCTTGCCTGAATAGAAAAATACTTTGAGCATGCAGAGTGTAGTTTTTACAGCACCCATTCATTTCTACAGCAGAGAGAGGGGCTTGCCCCACATCGCTCAACACGGCTCAATAGGCACACTGTGGACACTAATTGGAAGAACCCAGACTAAAACAGCAATGTACAGACGAATCAGATGACTAAACATGATCTTAAAATATCTGGGGGGGGGGGGGGGGGGGCGCAACTTCCAACAGGAGACATTTGGGGGGGCTCTTGGGAAAAAAGGTTGGGAACCCTGCTATGGAGGAATAGCTTTGATAAAATATACAGGGTCAGGCATGTAACTCAATTTTAAACATTTATTAAGTGCAAAAGAATGTTTACGATATCATTCAATGACAAATAATAAACAGAAAGATGTCACCTTGATGCAAATGACAGTTTGACACCATAGAGAATATCATAGACATGGAAAAAGGCTTCTGTGAAAAATCCCCGCACAGAGACTTATAAATACTCCCTTTGCTCTATCAAAGAAAACTGTTTATGACCAACGACATGGCAGTATGTTGAACACTTGCCCGAAGCCATATATACAGAAGCGTTACAAACTGAGGATGAAGGCCCAACGCTTCGGGATTCCTCTCTTCTGACCTCACTGTAGACATTTACCTCTGTCATTGTTAAACAGAAATGAATGGAGCGTTTCAGTTCATTACACTCAGAAAATAACAGCATGTCAATGCGATTTTGTAACTATTGGAACCTTTCAATTCATAAAAACATTTCAAGTATTTCTTTTTATCTACAGCACTAAGCTCAATACTTATGTAGACTTGAGTACAGAGTGGGACTAGCCCAGTAATATTCACCTCTTTCCAAATATCTACGAGAGCCATACTGACCATTATTTCCCCGATATAAACCTTTAACATTTGTCAGTAGTTCAGAGACTTGTTAAAAATGTAATGTGGCAGCCGCAGTTGTTCCTTGCTCACATTTTGTCAATTGAACACAATGCCCTTTAACAAGTAAGCAATATATCAGGTATGATAAATCATCTTAATATCCCCAGGATAATCACTACATATATACATGAATGTTAAACACTGGAAGACCTGTCTGTTTCTAACATTACACTTTAACACAAACTACAAGCAAGAACAATATTTTAAAATGTTAATTCCTAAGATTTTTATGTACAAATGTCAAATATGATATCTTTCATCGATGGGGTTGACCTGCAACTTGATGCACATGCTGCATGTCGCTAAAACATAGATTTGATAAAGGCACAGTTTGGCTCTGATATTTCCAGAAAACAAAGAACAGAAGTCTTTATACACTAGTTTTTTATAATTTATGGAGCATTGCATTGTGGGTATGGTTGGCATTGCCTCTGAGTATTTTGCACATTTCTGTCCTTTTTTAAAATCTGCACAGCTCTCTACTTAAACTTTAATATATTGTATTTTGTCTTATTTTCACTTAACTATATTACATGTATCAACACGAGCAAAAAAATTACAATTACAAAATATTTAAAAAAAATATATATTTAACCCTTAGATGCACGAGTGACTGGACCCTTCACTCTTCCATAAGTGGGTCAAAAAGGAGCCGTATTAGAATAATATGTGTTTTGATGCCATTTTGGTTAAGAAAAATCGCTTGTATAATATTTAGTATTATATTTTGGTTCACACTAGAAATATTTTATATTTAATTTTTCACTATTTCTAATTTTTGTTTTACATTTTGAAAAAAAAACGAAATTCCATAAAAATGCATGCGGGTAATTTTTGACCCACTTATGGAAGCTTGGGGTCGTAATACAAAAACTACAATCTCTTAAAATGTATACAATTAAAATTCAAAATTTGAATGGCATGATATCCAAAACATGTTTTTTGAGGAATAGCTGGAATATGAAATGATAAAAAAATGTAATTACAAAGATACTTCAAGAAAACCACCTCACCGGGTCAAAAAATACCCACTTATGCATCTAAGGGTTAACAACATATTTACTCATACTCTGTTTTTGTAAGCATCAATTTCAGAAAGGTAGTGCCCTTTTAAACCACTTTATAATCTATTTTTAAATAACAAATGTTTTTCCTTAAAGGCCCAAAAACGCAAAAAACAACAACTATTGAGTTGCCTCATGTGGCATGAATCATGGTAAAAAAGTTGCATTTGAACTAGAGCCGACCATCACGTCTGTGCTTGTTTGGGAGGAAAACCTCTTCATTACAGCATGAGGTGGTCGTTTGTTAAACAATTGTCCTGATGAGTTCTCCTTCTCATCTTTGCTTTACCCTATAACGTGTTTTGCTGAGGTTGAGGAAAAGTGGATAAGAAAAGACCTAGGAGCAGATTCCTTTTCTAATAACGGCAGCCTTGGTGAGTTGGGGCTAAAGGTTATACAGTTCAGTTCTACATTCATGTTGATGCTTATTTTTTCACGTCTGAGGCCATAAATGGTGCTTTGAATACAACTCTTCCAATGTGCACCAGTCACCACTGGGTGTCGCCCAACCCATCTAAACATTTCAACGATCTAAAGAATGTACAGTTTCAAAACACACACAACATAACACAGTTGACCAGCAACTGTTACAAATAAATCATATTAAAACCTATTTACTAAACAAACAATCTGCTGCATATTGAAAATGATTGATCAAAGAATAGTCCCCTCATGTATTGGGGATCTGATTTCCCTCTATAGACCTTACAGGTAACAACAAGAACAGCTGACCCTGAATATGAAGAGCTGCTGTGAACACATGTAAGTGTTCATGTCGTCTTTAACACACTTATCTTAAACATCTTATCTTAATGGTTAAGACCTTGAGGGCAGTGTTCAGTAAAGTGTTGCTCTGAGGCCAAACAGAGAACCATTGAAGTTGTATAAACGTCCTTTCCTCTCGTTTCCTTCCCTCCTGTCCTTTTCCTCTTTCACCCTCGTCTGTCTGAGAGACCCAAATTGAGGTCAAATCCAAATGCAGAAGTAAGGCTTTGTAAAGACGCATCGTTTGCCCTTTGTTTGTTCGAGATAAAAGGACATATTGTCAATACTGGGAGACAAAACCATGGCCAACTGTCCACTAGCCCCCTGTTACAATCATACAGAAATAGAGTTGCCATTGGTGGTGGGCAGGCTGAGGCTCAGAGTAGGACTGAGGCCTGAGATGAGAGTGGGCTCGGGGGAGGGGGGGGACAGGTCTCTGCTGAGGGCACGCAGGTTGTCCAGGGGGTCAGGAGTCCCAGTGAGGTTGTTGAGGTTGGGTGTGAGATCGAGGGCAGCTGCAGACGGGGCCACTCGGCGAAAGACGAAGTGGAACGGCGTGGCCTGCGAGCGGCTGTGGAGCTCCGCCTTAATCTTCTGAGGGTGGGTGTCCGGCGCCAGCTGCTGGCTGCTGCCCTCCATCACCAGGAACAGGCCGTAGTTCTGGGGGTCCGACACTTTGAACTTCTGGGCACACAGACGGCACACCTCGTCCACGGAGGCGTACGGTCGGACCTGGAGAGTCTTGGCGGTGCAGCCGCTGTCCAGCTCCTGCAGCGCCACCCGCAGGTAGTTCTGTGGGACAGTCAGGAGAAACAATCAGACTAACAGTGGAGATCTGTCAACACTGAGCAGTCCCTGTGGCTAAACCTGCCATTTACCTACATCTTAGCCATAAAACAATATGTGATACTCATGTTTGATACAGCAACGTTTAACATATTGGACTTCATCCTTTATTGTTTTTGAGTACAGCTGAATTTGTTTTAATACTTGAAGTGTGAATCTAAACGCCTACTGCCTACGGAGCATTTTCTGTCAGCTCAATTGATCTTTTCTGCTTTTTTAAACTGTAGTATGTGCTCATGTGTTTCATTGTTGGTGTTTAGGCTACTAATAATAATAATTATAATAATAACTTGAATTGATATAGCGCCTTTCATAACAGAAACATATAAGGACAAGACATAAAAACATAAAACCTGCCTGAATATGCAGAGGATACATTTTTCAACCTAAATATTTCCTCTTGTCTAAGGTTACACTGTTCTGTTCTCCTACATCAAACACCTGAAACTCTCCCTAAATCGTCAGAAAATCTGAGCTTCGTTCGTACAGTGAGGACCTTGAGGGCTGGCCAATAGAAGCGTGAGTGTTACATAGTGATGTCATTATGATATGCAAGTAAACAAAGGAGTCCAATGGAGGTGTTTCAGGCAGTCAGGGGAGTGTGTTGGAGAGAAACTAATAGGAGCCCTATAAATATGAGATGACTTGAAACAAAGTCTCCAGTTTGAGCTACCTGGAAGTCATCGATGGACGGAGCAAAGCGCTGGGTGGTGCGCCGGCGGTGCCACTGGTGGAGCGTGTTCCTGGTTTCAGAGCTCAGCACTCTGGCCGCCTGCTCCTCCTGGAAGTTTTGAATCAGGGACATGGCTCCATATGCGCTGGTCAAGTAGTAGCCACCTGGATACGCAGAGGAAGAGGGTTAACCATTTATTAATAAAGATACAACTTTTCTCTCATGGTGGAGGCTCCACACTCTGTTATAACAAACCTTCTCCATGAAGCAGAGAGGGGTCCAGCAGCTCCATCATGTAGAGGATCTCATTGTTCAGCTGGGGCATGTCGCACTGGGCCAACACGTAGGTCAGCATAGGCAGGAAGTCATCAGCTCCATACAGACGACCTGAGAGGCACACAGATCCTTCAGGTTCACTTTGATAAGATGACTGCAACATTGCAAACAAATATTTGGATTATCAACAGGATTACAATGTTACTAAAAACCTAAAAAGATCATATAGTGTTTGTTCAGATGTTATTTCTTCTCTGTAAGCTGTACTGTTCTGAAGGCTAATACTTTAATGAAGTGTGAATGTATACGCCTTCTGCCTACGGAGCATTTCCTGTTAGCTGAGGTTTTATTTCTCTTTTGTAGAAATGTGCTCCTGAATATGCTGAATGAATCGCAGGTTTTCCTATCAATAAAATCTCTGAGCAGAGGACACATCTTTCCTACATAAAAAACCTAAAACTCTATAAATCGTGAGTGTTGTAAGACAGAATTTCCAGCTTCCAGCAGCCTGTTCATCATTTCCATCAATAATAGTGTTATTAAATGCCGGTAATTGTTGTGATATTCTGATCTGTACCTGAGTTGTCCTCCATGATGGTGTAGATGAGTTTGCAGACCCTCAGCAGCACGCTGACCTTCTTCTCGGGGGAGTACAGTTTGATCATGGTGTGGAACTTGTGCTTGATCTTCTCTATAGCCACGGGGTCCGGGGGCAGCGTGTCGGCCACGCCCATTTCCTGTGGCAGCCGGGCCTTGGCTAAGGCCAGGTTCTCCTTCAGCTCCAGCCACTCCCCGCTGCGGACCTGGAACTCCTTCAGGGCCACGCTCACCACCGGCTTGAGGGTCTTCAGGAGGCACTTGTGCATGGCCTTCTCCAGGACTTGGTCTGGGAGAGGAGCAAACGGGTGAGCTGTTAGAAATACATTACTATCATTTATTTAAAGTTCAAAATGTTCTATGTTTTTGGTAGACTTTTTTTCATTACTTGTTATTAGCAACTTCATTTAAACATTACCAGGATGTTTTTGAAGCCAAAGCCTAATTAACTGTACAACAGTAGCCCCAGTTTGTGCCTGTATGTATTACTGCGATGCATTTGTTAATCTACAACAGTACCTTTGTGTTCCTGTTGAGTATCTGAACAAACAACTATAGAATACTAGCGCAGTTAGTCAGTTAACTGAGGTTCTGGAGAAGAGGCACAGCTCAACCACACCTCTATACACCTGCTAAACTACTCCTACCTGGTCAACCGGCCTTGTTTCTCTACCATTTCACAACCCACCATTTATCCATTTCTCTTCTTACCTCCTCTTCACCTACATCACTTTATCCTTACCTCCCTTTATCCCTCTGTCCCTACACCACTTCATCTCTTCTTCCCTAACTTCCTCCATCTAACCCAGGGGTGTCTAATCTACGGCCCGGGGGCCAAATGCGGCCCGCAGGCCATTTTGAATCGGCCCTGAACAAATTCAAAAAGTATAATGAAATACAAATGAAACTTGTGCTTTTCTTGTATTGTACTTCTTAAATATATATGTACAAATATATTACACAGCAGTATTCATGTGTTAATAAGCCCACTTTTCAAATACATTCAGTCAATTCATGTTGAAAACATTTTCTAACAAATCTTAGGCCCAATAACTTATTTACACAACAAGCTTGAAACAGACCCTTCATAAGTCATCTTATTATAATCACTGAGGCTTCTGTGTTAAGGGATGAGCTGCCAACAAGATAAATGCAACCCTATAGAGAGCTGTGATGTAGGCTGATTCTTTCTTAAATCATATTCATGTGTCAAGCCTAATTTACCTACACTTTGTTAACTTATAACTTAACTTACGAGGCAATATACCTCTATCAGTGGCCCAGCACTTCGTATATTTTTCTGTATGCGGCCCTCGTGAAAGAAGTTTGGATACCCCTGATCTAACCTCACTATACTCCTTTGACCGCTTATCACTCCCTTCCGACATGGCTTAGACAATGTATCCCTCTCTCGCAACACCCCTTCACCCCATTGACCTTTTATTCCTACCTCCCTACATCTATCCCTTCATCCCATCTTCCAACTTCCCTTGGACGATTCATCCCTACATCCCTTTGTCCCCTTTTCCTGTCTCCACTTGTCTCTTTCTATTTCATCTGTTACATGCTTTTCTCACATTCTAGGTGTCAGCTCGGGCACCCTGTGTTTCCCTCAGCCTGGACTTCAGCAAGTCTCCTAAACAACATCCCTAAACCTTCTTCTCCCCTTCCTCTTACACACTGCGGAGTGACTGACTCCGCCACTGACAGCCAACGCACACACACACACACACCAAACATTTCCTGCTCTCTTCCGTTCGTCAATAAATCAGGTTAAATCATCACTAAAACGTCCCTTTTCCCCTTCCTTTCTGTAGCGCGACCATAAGTGCACGCTTGTGAGTCTACAATTGTTTATTGTCTCCCCAGCAAAGGGAATGTGGAAAAGACGGAGGCGCATCACTTCCGTGATTTAAATATGATGTCATGAACCATGCAATTTATTATATATTTTGCGTTTATTAATTATGGGGAATGATTGTGTTAAGAGGTCGTTAACCTGTGTATGTTTGGGGGATTACATTTATGTTGACAATGTGGTTTTGAGTTAATTGTGTAACCGGTTGACGGTAAGCCTGTGGGGAGGGGCTATGGGTTCAAAAGGGACGGTGTTGGCCCTGGAAGTGTCATTCGGGAGATTGTTGCGGTGAAGGCAACGGCTGGACTGTGTCTACTCCATGAGTAATAGACAACCTAGTTTGATAGCTTTGATTTTGTTTGTTTGAGTTGTACTGTTTCACTTTTGTCAAACAGTATTTTTTTTTTTTGTTGCTGTATAAATAAAGTTTTGGAGCTTAAAACAACCGACTAAGCCTATGTTTCGAACGGACAAATAGAACCCCGTCACACACACATCAGTGCTATTAACCCTTTAACTGACATATATATTTGCTAGTGAACCCTCAGATAAACAACATTGTAGAAGAGTCCAAAGATGTCTCTGACTGGCAAACACCTATTTGTATAACCACCTCTGAGGAGAAGCATGGAAAGCCATTTGTCTGACCTTGAATTGTCTTTCTTTATGTTTTAGTATTCAGGAGCATGTTTATTATGTCTATCTGTCTAGTGTGAGGTTATTTCCTTTCAGAGCAAACACCAGGTCAAGGTAAACATCACATTCCATATCAGTCATGTTTCCCAGCTCCCAGAGGACAGCCAAAGTCACTAGCATGGTCACGTGTGATACCCACACTCTCACTGTTCCCCATATGTAAACACCAGTGACGTGCGGTGAGGTTCATGGCTGGTGAGGCACTGACTCTTTCAGAGTCAGATTTACAAATATTATATTCTGACCTTAATCGAAATGTTCGGTTATTTTCAAAAGCTTTTTTAGTCTGATGCTTCGATTAATTTTAAACAGACCGTTCAACAAAAGGATACCCAAAATCTAAATATTGGATTGTTCTTTCTTAGTAAGATCCCATGTACATTACAATTGTGGTCTTACCTTGACTTGAAGATGAAGTCCATGCTATCCTTCTGGACAACAATCTATATTACTTTTTTGCAAAAGTCCTCCTTATCTTCCTCTAGTTTCAAAAGTCTAGTTTGTTGTTCGCGTCTATACCGTCTCTGCGTAGAATAACAGTAGCAACAAGAACCTGTGGGCTCACTTGAGCCCCCTTCAGTGCGGCAGAGGTTATGCCTGCCTCCCCTGGTGCTTTTTTCATTGCCGTTGTATGATGAGACCAGCGAGCCTAAATATCATATATACGTGAAATAAGTTATTTAGAGACTATGGATGGCGAGGATAAATGTAATAAAGGGATCTACAAACATTACATTGGTGACATACAGTGAGATGGTGCAGGCATGCGCTTAGTGCCCGCTTTCCAGCCAGTTTCTGTGGGGTGATGCATTCTGAGGTGAGGCAGAGCTCATCTGTGCCTCACCTTACCCCACAGTAACTGGCTTGAGCGCGCTCACAAAATAAGTGCCCGCGCTACATTAGTGCCCGCGCTCCAGCCAGTTACTGTGGGCTTACGTGAGGCAGAGCTCGTCCCTGCCTCACTCCTCATCGCTCCCATGTAGTTGTATCGGAGCTCGGCCAATTTGCTGATTTTGACTATAAAAAGCGATTGGAATCAAACATAAATCACACTTACAAGTTACAACACAGATCAGTGGAGACATTTTATTATTACTATTTAGTTTTTCTTTAGTTGTTTTTCCGTTACATTGGAGTATGACAGGTGAGGCTCTGCCTCCCCTGCCTCCCCTGACTGCACGTCGCTGGTAAACACTCATAGTTGATTTGTGTTTTTGTGCAGAATAATCCAGATAGCAGTTTTGGGTGTGAATCGGCCCAGCCAGTGTCAACAGCCGCTTTTAACACAACACAGAGCGGTGGATGCAGACCGCAGCACTGCTGAATAAGGAGCATGTGTGCACGCTCTCTGTGCATGTGTGCTGATTCTCCTCGAAAACCGGGTGATGTCAGCAGTTTTTTTTTTCTTTCTGCAGACACAGATTCTGCTTTCCATTAAAGAATGATCGCGTCCAGCATTTGCCTGTAACAAGTCGGTCATCATGAGTTTATGAATTCCCCCTCCCTTGCGCTCTTACTGGAAAAAAAAGTTCCTCACCCACATTACTGCTACCTGCAGATACGAGACAGAGACGTCTCACTTCCTCATGGACCACACTGATAAAGAGTTGCCAGTTAGTGGGGCAACCAGCGTGTTGAACCGGTATGGTTTCTGTTATCTTAAGAAGATTGAGAGGAATTGTTTGGCTTTGATGGATAATCTTAGTATTCCAGGATGGCCCTTTCTTTAACTTCTGATTGGAATCAAACATCTTCCGATCCTATACAATTCCCTGTGACATCCCCTAAGTGTTACTGAAACTACTGAATGAGAAGTCACATTAGTCCACTTTCACTGAGAGAGAATACAACGATGTTACGGAACAGATTTTTAAATACAAAACATGTATTCTGTTACAAGGAAGAAAACATATGTTAACTCTCAAAGTTCTTTGTGAGGGATAAGAATAAAAAGAGAGATACAAAGAATACAAATGTAAGACAAAAAGCTTTTTCTTTCAAATCTCAATATTACTCAGCTGCCACTAACAATTGTTCTCTCATCTGCAAATTATTTTGAAAGTAAGAAAACTATGGTAAGACAATGTCTACAATAGGAGCCACTTAAAGTTTAAATGTGTTGTTTTTTTCCGCCATCAGTTGAAATTATAAAAAAATGTACTATAATAAAAAATTGAGAAACATTGCAAGTATTCACATTTGACAATTTAGAGCTTGTTGCTGTTGGGACAAAAACGCTTGAAAGGTTACTTTAAAGATGGAGCAGATTATTTTACAAAAAAATTAAAAGAACAAGTTGTTGCCGTGGTAAACAGTACAGGGCCTGAACCATGGTAGAAACGACTAACCTGAGGTCTTAAATGCTCCGTATGCACCTTATACTCTATGAACTGTTTATTTATTTCCTAATACTTTCCTCAAGCTCAACATTTACTCGACAGTCTGTTACGGCCCGTCTACACTACAGGCGTCAAAAAATGCTTTCAACGCTTCGCCCATTCATTTGAATGGGGTGACGTAGGATATTTTCAAACTTCGCTGAACTGCATTGTGGGTAGCATGGCAAGGCGTTGCAAGCATCGCGAGCGTCTATCGCCGTCAAAAGTTGAACAATGTTCAACTTTTGAGGCTCGATGCTTGCTCGAAGCTGGCGTCAGCCAATCAAATCCCGTTTATGCAAATCTGCCAGTACAAGAGCTAGCCAATCAAACCGCGTGTATGCTGGGAGAGACTAC